GTTTTATTAAACTGTGTTTTGCTTGGACGGTAAATCCTCCAGATAATCTCTAAATAGGCAAAAAAAAGATTGGGAACCTCGTTGAGTAGCTGTCGTTTGCAGTGAGAACTCTGCACGGAGAGACAGAATGTAGTTGGGTTGACTTCAGTGAGGGGATTTCCATCTTTCTCAGTCATAAAGTGCTCCGACATTTAACACTGTTGACCCCCACACACAATTTTTTAGTACAGTTATTGGAACTGAGAAAACAAAAATCCCCTCCAAAAAATTACAGGTTAATTGCGAAGGACCCTATGTAAATTTTTGCCCATGAAATTCAGTTTAGTCGTTTCTCTGAAACAGTACTTCAAAAAAGACCATCTCCCCGCATTGTGTGAAATGCAAGAGACCCACGTACTTCAGAAAATCCGACGAAATTGTGTGAAATGCAAGAGACCCACGTACTTTAGAAAATCCCACGTACATTGTGTGAAATGCAAGAGACCCACGTATTTTAGAAAATCTCATTTACAACATATTATTAAAGCTGGATTTAAGAGAACATGGTAGAAGAAAATCTAAGCAATACTACACCTTTGAGCAGCCTCATTGTGTTTGCATCTCAGAGCAATTGAAACTATACAAATGAACGTTAAGACGTATTCAGTTGTCTGTGAAAACCATTTCCCTAGGAAGTACTTACTCTGCTTGAAAATGCTCGTAAACTTTAAATTTTGGGGTATCTCGGTTGCAGTGGAAGTTTTTTGAAAAAAAATTTTTTTTTTTAAGCCTTTTAAACATATAAAAATGGCTTCCAAAAGAGCTCTGGTCATCCTGGCTAAAGGAGCAGAGGAAATGGAGACGGTCATCCCTGTAGATGTCATGAGGCGAGCTGGGGTAAGTCCCACATCGATTTTTAGCCATTTGTGTTTTAAATGGTTTTTGGATTTTTAAATCATTTTGAATAAAATAGTGTTAAAAGTGCTTCATGAAAGATTTCAAATATACACAAAATTTCAGAGATTACATAAGAATAAATACTTGTTGATCCACTGCCCCCATTTAGTGCTTGTTGATGTCTTGCCATGTCTCCTTCAGACCCATTTCTTTTTTGTTTTGCGCTCTGTTGTCGAGGCTGGAGTGCAATGGCAGGATCTCGGCTCATTTCAGCCTCTGCCTCCTGGGCTCAAACCATCTTCCCACCTCAGCCGTCCAAGTAGCTGGAACTACAGATGCATACCACCACACCTGGCTAATTTTTGTATGTTTTGTAGAGACAGGGTTTTGCCATGTTGCCCAGGCTGCTCTCCAGCTCCTGAGCTCAAGTTGTCCACCTACCTCAGGCCTCCCAAAGTGTTAGGACTACAGGCGTGAGCCGCTGCACTGTCCTTAGACCCATTTCTTTCCTTTTTTTTTTTTTTTTTTGAGATGGTGTCTCACTGTGTCACCCAGCCTGGACTGCAGTGGTGTGATCTCTGCTCACTGCAACCTCTACCTCCCAGGTTCGACAGATTCTCCTGCCTCAGCCTCTTGAGTAGCTGGGATTACAGGTGTCCACCACCACACCTAGCTAATTTTTGTATTTTTAGTACAGATGGGGTTTCACCATGTTGACCATGTTGGTCTCGAACTCCTGGCTTCAAGTGACCCGCCTGCCTCAGCCTTTTACAGTGCCATGATTACAGGCATGAGCCACCATGCCCGGCCCCTCAGACTCATTTCTTAAGGAACAAATGCTTCGAAGAAATACAGTTGAAGCTTCCTTTGTAAATTTCTCCAGTCCTATGCCCTGTCTTCCTTCCTTAAAGATAACTGCTGTCCTCGCAATCTTGTGTATCCATGCATGCATGTCTTTTTTTTTTTTTTTTTTTTTTT